AACACGCCAGGGTTCACCACGGGGGCCTTTGAGGGTGCCCTGTGCGCGGCCGGCATCGAGGTGTGCACCGTGGCCGCGCGCGCCTGGAAGAAGGACGTGGCGCTCATAAGGGCCGACAAGGGCGACAGCCGCGCGCTGGCGGCGCGCGCGTTCCCGGAGAGCGCTGGCCTGGTCAGGTGCGTGTCGCCTTTGCGCTGGCGCAGCGCTGCGCTTGGCATGGGTGGGAGCGCCGCGCGGACAGGCTGTCGGCGCGGCGTGGCGGGTGGCGCCGTCAAGGGCCCGGCCACGGCATTGCTCCTGCACCCGCCTGGGAGTGTCTCCTTTTCCTGGCCGAGCAACGTACTCCGCCAGTGCTTGAGCCGTGGCGTTGGAGCGCGACCAATGGTTGAAGCCATGGATTTGCCGTTCTGCGCGAGGCGGCCTCGGCACACAGTGCCGAAATGAAGAGCGCCCGCCCTGACCCACCCCTTGCATCCCCGCACACCCTCCGCCCCCTCCCAGCCGCATCAAGGACCACGGCCGCGCCGAGGCTCTGCTCATAGCCGCGTGGGGCGCAGGGCTGCGCGCGACGGAGCGCGGCGGGCCGCTGTCGTGGGGGCCGCCGCGGCGCGCGCTTATGGACGGGTGCCTGCACGTGCTCACGCCCTCGCGCCACGCGGCACGCGGCGGGAGCGGCGACGGGAGGCCTGCGGGGCCGGCGCTGCTTGAGGCGGTGATTGGGCGGCGCGGCAAGGCGGCGGCGGGGGCGGATGGGACCCGCGGTCGCGGCGCGGGGCGGCGGCGGAAGGCTGCAGAGGGGCGGCAAGGAGCAGATGAGGCAGGGATGGAACAGCAGGAGCAGCAGCAGCAGGAGGAGGAGGAGGAAGATAGCCTAGAAGCGGGACAGGAGGACGAGGAAGAGGAGGAGGGTGGACTAGTGGCGGGACACGAGCCGCAGGAGGGGGGGGAGGAGGAGGGGCCAGCGGCCCAACGCAGGCGGCGACCGCGCGCCGCCCAGCGGCGGGCCACCACATCACTGGCGGCCGCGGCGGCGCCGTCTCGCAGCACCGAGCGCGTGGCCAAGGCCCGCAAGACGGCGGCTGCCAAAGCGGTGGCGGCGGGCGGCGACGGGTGACAGGGGAGGGGCAGCTCTGCCACCTTGGAGCAACCCGCGTTGGCGAATCCGTTGGTGTTTTGAACCCTGATCAATAGACTCACAGGGTGCCTGCTCAGTGGGTGCATTCCGCAACGCCCAACGCGCCTTGCTTGGAATTCCAGGCATCTCTGTAAAATGTAAGCGTCATTCACACACATGCACACACACACAAGCGCGCGCGCGCTGCCGCCTTCGCTTGGATTGGTTGAGGCGTGCGGCTGTGCCGCCGGCTGTCATGGTGAGGGGCATCGCCCAGGCTGGAGCAGCTCCACAGGCCCACCAGGGTTGCAGGGCCCACGCACAGCGCAGGGCGTAACGATTCGTTACAAAGGGCCAAATGTGGCCGCCGCTGCGGTGCGCTGGAAATGTCGCGCTGAGCCAGCGGGGCGCCATAAAGTGGGCAGGCCAGTGCTTGCTGGGGAGCTATGCTACTGTGGATGGAGTGCATGGCACCAGTGCGTATCATCTGACTCCACCAGAAGACATAAAGGGTAAAATCACAGCGGAGGGTCACGAGCCGCAAAAAGACAGCAGAGGGTGCCGCGGGCCTCAACACGCCGCCTCAGCCTTGACCTCCACCCCCTCCGCGGCGCCACCCTCCCCCTCCTCCCCATCCTCCC